GTCGCCAATTGTATAGTTTTGGCTACTAATTATATTTTAGTCGCTAAAAAAATTCATTCCCGCCGAAAAACCTCCACTTCTGGCGACTAAACTGAAATTTAGGCTCCAAAACCTCTACTTTGGGCGACTAAACTGCATTTTAGTCCGCAATTCTTGACTTTTAGCTACTAAATTTTTTTTAGTAGCCAAAAAGCTTCACTTTTGTCTACGAAATTGATTTTTGTCGGTAAAACAAGTACAATCGGCGACCAAACTATTTTTCAGTCGCCAAAACCTATACTTTTGGCTACTAAATGTTTTTAGTCGCCAAAAACCTTCTCTTTTGGCTACTAAAATTTTTTTAGTCGCTAAAACCCCTATATTCGGCGACTAAACTGAGTTTTAGTCGCTAAAACCCCTACATTTGGCTACTAAACTGTTTTAGTCGCCAAAAGTGTTCAATTTTGGGTGTTCACTTTTGGCGACTAATTCCATTTTAATCGCCAATTCTGCTACTTTCAGCGACGAAAAATTCATTTTTAGTCGCGAAATCTACTTTTTCTTGTAGTGTTAGAGCTCAATTAGAATTCCAAAATTAGAGGAATATATCATTGCTCATGTTTTTTTGGTGAAAACGGATGTTTACCCCTATGATTTTTTTACTTTAATTATTATTTCTCTAGGCATGCAATTATTAACACATCAATATCATATATAATATTTGCCACATGCGACCATTTGTTGATGTTCTCATTCAAATAAGAAACAATAATTATATCTTTATTTTTTTAATAATTTGTTCTAATAATTAGTCCCACATTTTCTCTTTAACCATTCTTTCTTTAGGAGGAGGTTTCTCTTTTGAGGTATGAAGAAAATACAATTAATTTCACATTTTTGACATAATTACACCAACTCCCTTTTAATATGGTTAGAACGACTAAAATTAATGTCAGCAATGGGTAGCCATTGAAATAAATAAAGACAAATATATATTTTAGTTAGAAAGAGATGACAATATCATTTTTTTAAAAAAAAATTTATACGACTAACGAAATTATCAACGAAAAATGATCTAAGTATTATGTAAATTAAAATTTAGAAAAATTATTTGTAAGTCTTATTATATGAATTTATTTAATATGAAGTCCTATATAATTTCTTATAGTCTCAAGTCTTATTTAGATAGGAATGTATTCCACAAGGTCCTATGAGTTGTAATATGAATAGTATTAGTACACTATTATGCTCATTTGTTTCCATATTATAGGACTCTACACGTCATATGAGTTGTAATTTAACTGGACTCCACACGTCATAATGAATGCTTCTCCCGATTTGGACTCCACACATTATAATTTAGCTGGTTTTGTTTTTCACACCACTTTCATTCATGTATTAATGTTACATGATTATGCTATCATTCATGAACTTGTATTGTTCAAATCATTAATACACATTTACTTAGCACATTGAAATTGGGCTTGCATGTGAGAACTCTTAGTTTTATGACAACATGTCGCGTTGGTGTGGTTATGTTGGTGTGAAGTTGCCATTTTTTTGCATGTGGAACGTCGATCAAACCATCCAATGTTACTATTGTATTCATGGCCAAACTTCTTACAAGCGTGACTTCATGACTACAACCACTTAATGCCACAGACAATCCCGTAATCGGGTCACCAATCTTAATTTACAGCACCAACTTGAGAGATTAAAGTATGAAAGATAAATTATGAAAGATAAATTGAGAGAGTAATATTGAAGGAGAATTTGTAATCTAAACTCTGTATTGAATCAATATTGAGGCTCCATTATATAGGAGTTTGTTACACAAACATTATGATGATACATTTGAATATAATAAGAAAACGTGGCCGAAAGCTGGTGGCGCACCGAAAGCACTCTGACAAAGGGAATCCTATGCTATAATTGGTGTTGACTCTTATACTATAATATATTAACAACAGGTATAGTATTATATTATATTCAATTATATTATATTCAATTATATATTAACAAAGTAAGAGAGTTAAGAGAGCTTTTAACTAGAATTTTTTCATTTTGGATGCTTTGTGATTTACCATGGGTGAAGTTAAAAGCAAAAAAAACCCATTTCAACTGTACCGTGTCGTTTTTTTGCTTTTGTCCCCTTGAAAAAACATAAAATCTATACCATGTCAAAGACATGTTTTATTATCGTAATATGTCCTCTTTCCTTCCGTTTTTGATTTACCTTCACCAACTGTCATCTATATACAAATGTTAATATAAAGAAAGAGTGATCAGGAGTGTATAAATGGTTTTATTTCACCATTAATTATCTTTAAAGCAAGTTGAATATTGTTCTAAATCCCTTCAGTGTGTCAAACAACTAATGTTTAAATAAACATTATGTTGAACAATCTTCACTGTATTTAAAAAGATTAAATTCTGTTGTGTACAAAACAACAACAAGAATAAAAGAAATAGAGAAAAGGAGAGAATTTGTTTGATTACTAAAATCAAACTCGAAATAAAAAATAAATAAATAAAACCACAGATTTTATTTTGTTACAAAAATAAAAATAAAATCTGATTAAATAAACAAATAAAAACAGAATAAATTAAACAACTTACTTGGTTAATTTATTTGAATAACTTTTCTGATCAAGTCCAGTGTTTAACACTGTGTCCTTAAGACAGATTCGTCCTCTCCACGGTGCTTTCAGAATTTGGACGTCTATCTCCCAGGATGAAATGATCTACTACAAACAATAGCAGCACTACAAATTGTTTGCCTAAAGGTGGCTTTTGGATTTGAATTGAACAGGTATGAAACCTGTTAGATTCAAATTTAAACAGATTTGAATCTGTTTATTCAAACAGATAGAAACGGGAAGGGCTCTGTTTGGATGAGCAATAAATCCAAAACAGTTTAATTCTGTTTGAAAACGGGAAGGGTCCTGTTTGGATGAACAATAAATCCAAACTAGTTTAATTTGAATTCTGGATTTTATTTTAATAAAAAATAAAATTAAATTCAAATGTTTTTGACCCAAAAAGATTAGAAGCCCCACACACCCGACCGGACGGCGGCGCGTGGTGATTTTTGGGTCCAATGGGTCTAGCCCATTTTGCCCATAACTTCTCCCTCTAAAACACTTGGGTACCCCTTGGGGCACACCCCAAGTATCTCACCCTAAGCCTTATAAACCCTTTCAAAACTTCCCACCAAATCAATATGGGACAAGCCAATTTACCACCTTAAGGAATTTCCACCAAAACTCTATTTCCATGGAGCACACTTTGGCTTCAATTTCCCATTCACTCGGTAATGATTTTGAGCAACCAAATATACCACGTGAATCACAACGCGGCATAGAACGCGTTACCACTTTGACCCGAGTAAATCGACACTCGGGGCCCACCTAAAAAATAGACCGAACTTAGGAAAAAATTCTGGTTTTATCCAGAATTTTATAACCATTTCCAACACATTAATAAATAAATAAATAAATAAAAGAGAGAAATAGTAAACTGAATATAGAGTTCTGTTTCCCAATTAGACTACCTATGTATATATGAATAGTATGTTGAACAACCTAATGTTTTTGGCATAATTAACTATCAAAAGACTTTAGGAATACCTCATCTTCTCTCCCTCCAAGAAAGATAAACAACTAGCAAATGAATTTCAATACTTAGAGAACTTCTTCAATGGAAACATCACATCATGTAAACATGATAAATATTCACCTATAAGTATATATATAATCTCACCACATATAAGAAATATATTGTCAAAATAATGAACAATTGAAAGAAAACAAATTACACATGGTGACTATACATTCAAGTACCTCATCCAGAGGTAGATTCTGATGAAGTTGCCTCTTGTCTTGGTCTTCTTTGCTCAGCAGGACGACCATCTCTCTGTCTCACATACCTTTTACTCTCATATTTTGATCGGTTAGATTGCTTTGGTTGATAAGTAGGGTACTTGCAAGGAATTATCTCGCCATTGATGTACTTATCTCCTAAAGCAATAAGGGTAAACTTTGTATTCAAAAAAATATAATAACATCACAGAAAGATGTAGATTTATTAAAAAACAAAACATTTCTTAAAAAATGTATCACCTCCATAGTCCTTGTTTTTAACATCTATGTAGGAATCTGGAATCCAGTGTACGTGGTGGTACTAAAAGCATACATATTTTTCTTTGCTTCTTCCATGCTGAGGGAAACATAACAATGCACATATTTGTGAGAGATACAATATAGATGTGTGGAAATTGAGCAAATGACTGGTGTTGTTTAAAATATCCCATGAAGCAAACCAAAGAAGCAGAGACACACGAGGCCACAATTCTCAAATATTTAGGATACGGACACGGAGGGATATGGATATATATTCATATAGATATATTATATTTTAATTTACAATGTATATATAAACATAATTTAGGATATATAGATGTGAGAGGCATTAATGAACATGTAGGTTATTCTTTTTTGTTCTACTTTTTTCCTCTTTGTTTTCATATATTTTACTTTGGTCACCCAAAATCAGTTTTCTTTAAAACAAAAAAAAAAAAAAAAAAAAGGTAAATTACAAATACACCCTCTGAGATTTACTTAAAATACGAATTACCTCTTGTGGTTTGGAAAACTACAAATACGACCCTGTCAAACTTTTTTATTTAACAGAATTAATTGAAAAAGAGAAATTTCTAACTATTCACCTATACAATAAAAAAATTATTTGAATTATTAATTGAAATAAAATTTTAACATTATTAAAAACTGTTACTCCCTCTGTCTCAAAATAATGGTCCCTTTTGAGGAATCTAACTTTTTTTGGTAGTACAATTATTGCATTTGAAAAAAAGTTGATTTTCCAAAATTAACCTTTTGATAGTATATTTTTTGAGAATATCAATGTCATAATTGTACTTTTTATATTGTTTATTAATTTAAAAGAAGGGCAAAATAGGAAATTTATATTATTTTTGTACTTGATTTTTGAAGAGGGGCCTAAGTTACACGGACGCGGGTGCGGGTGTCGGATACGGGTATGTGTCTAGGTGTCAGATTCGCCTATTCGTGAAAATAAGGATACGGGGACTCGGCTAAAAAGTGTCCAAAAAGTAGATACGGATACGGGGACACGGCACATAAAATATTAGTAGAATTTTTATATTGTACTAACTAACTACATAATCTATGCATCATGATGATCAATAACCAGATTGTTAAAGTCTAAAAAAATACATAGAAGAAAAACAAAAGTAATTTATTATGAAATAAATGTAGGACCTAGGCACATACCTGATTGATTAGTGCTTCCAACCTCCCACAATTTACATGTTCTTTCACCATTTTAGCTGCATAATTATCACCATCAGTTTGTAGGCAATAAATAAAAAAGTCATTGTGTATAAAATATAAATTAAAGCAAAAAAAGACAATGAAAAGATATGGATGCTTACTTGATCAAGTTTAAAATGTGTATGACTTTGACCACACCTATAATATTCTATATCATTATAATTACAGCATAGCATATTAGAAATTCAAATTGTGAATGATGCCAAAGCTCCTTAGTAAAATCCTTAATCAAACTATTGATATTGAATCCTTGAAACTGACAAGGAAGATTGATCATCCAATGATATCCAACTTCTAAGCTCTTCAATGCTTTAGCCTTAAACCTGTTAGCAACTATACCAACACATTGATTCACAACATAATTCCCACAAATATCTCTGATTGTGTCCCATAAATAAAACCTCCTTTGCATACAAATATAAACATTATGACAAAAAAAAACTACCTTCAAGTTGATTGAGATGATCAAATTTAGATTTACAAAAATATAAGTTTTGTATGTCAAGTCAACTATTCCTAGTTGACTGATCATCTCCACCATAGCACAAAATGTCAAAAAATTTATAAAAAAAAAAAGAGAAGAAAACAGATTATAGTCTTTTACATAAACATAAACATCAATATATGAAAATGCAAAAGATCAAATGAAGCTAGTCCAAAAGTTAAGCATCTAAGTCTTCACCATGACCAACATCATCAGGCTGAACATCCTCCATTACATCATCAAAAGTCACAAGCTCCAACTCAGGCTCATTGATGGAAAGTTCTGCAAACTCAATTGGAGGTCCATCAATGTCAAACCTATCTCCACCTACAATCATGCAAAAGTCAATAACTAATCCAAAAAATAAAAAATAAAAACAGTGTTTAAGTTTAATTAGTAGAAGAAACAGAACAAGATTAATGAATTAGAAAACTTACATAAATCCCAATACTTTGAAGGCCCTTCCTTGTACTCTTTTTTCTTTCTTGATAACATCCTTATGTTGCAATGCACAAAGACCAAATCTTCAGCTCTACTACTTGCCAACCTATTTCTTTTGATGCTATGAATATGACCATAGGTGCTCCAATTTCTCTCACAACATGATGAAGAAGCTGGTTGTGACAGCAACTTAAATGCTAACCCTTGCAACAATGGTGTTGAAGCACCATGATTAGCCCACCAAGAAATTGGCTCCTCATACATTCTTGCTTCAATAACATGTGGCTGATTGAAATAGCCTGATCCACTTGAAAAAGCACCATATTTAACATAAACATTTCGCAGATGAGTTGTATTTTTTTGAAATAGTTGCTCAAAACACTTGCTCCTATTAGTAGACACTTCTTCATCTTCATGC